GAGTAGAACAGCCGCCACCTGCGGAGGTTCCGAAATCTAGATCCCTGATGCTTCGGGTAATGGGAGTCAGATTGTGTCGTGTTGGTAAGTTGCAGCATCATCACCTAGCTGCTGCTCTTACCGTTTGAGTGAGGAGATGCACTCTGAGCCCTCATTAGCAGTATCGTTCCCGTGGAACCGTACCTGTCATGCCATAACGGCATTATGCTGGCTGTATCTTCCATTCAGAACGGGTAACTTCTCCGTTGCAAACTGATATCTTCGTCGATTTTGGCAGCAGTGGCTAACTGCGTCCCCAGCAACCGGAGTGGGGGGGGGGGCATGAAGCAGGCGATGATCGCCAATTTTTTTGCAGTCTGCTTCAGTTCCCCGACAGCCTGTGTGACCCTTGGTAACCCGGGCGACGACTAAACCGTTATAGTGTTCGATAAAGGGCAAAACAACGATCGGGAAGTTTCTAAGATTTATTGGAGACTTTCCAAAGCACTCAACTCTCATGCTTTCTAGAGGCTTTGGACGAGAAACGGCGGAATTCTTCATGACCTGTCGATTTAAATATTTCACTTAGTCTAATTAAGCAGGGTTAGTTGTCTTAAGGTAAAGGCAAAACTTATGGTCGCTGGATAGAAATCGTCTTGGACTGAAGAACTGTCATATGTAGCTACGGTCTCTGCAGAACTTAAAGAAGAACCTGTATGCAAATGAACTTAATCCAAGGCATTTTGCGATAATGCTGCCTTTGCCTTCCTAACTGGCCTCGTGTACCTCAATGAATGAGGGAACGATGTGATTACGTCACGTGTTTCTTATCCTTCTTGTAGTGGTAAAAACTAAGTCTTGTTAGTGAAGCCATATCTCATCTGGTAAACATCTACGCTGTTATAACTGGCATGCATTGTGTTTAGCTACCGCCGCCGATCGGCTCGCAATTCAATCCAATGGCAAATACCATGACGTGCTGTCAGCTCAACAACTTCTCTCCTGTGACGTGGATAAGCAAAGAGGTTGCAACGGTGGATATTTGGATCGAGCATGGCGATACATCCGACAGCACGGGTAAATGAAGTTCGAAAATCATTTAGGGCTTTCATAAATTTTTAATCATGCATAATTTATTTTAATTTTATTTATGGCTGAAAATGAAATATGTCGTTGCCCTGAAATTATACTAATTTATTTTGGGGAAAACAGCATTTAAGTAGTTTATTTATATACGGGCAGTATGGCTATTTGGATGATTTTCAGGAGTCGACTATTTGGTCCATGTCTCACGGACTTTCTTCAGGGTCGAGAGGTGGGTTGGCTTCAGAAATTCTTTCTGTCATTCTCAACTGTTGTAACGTCCAGACCTAGACCTCCTTCTGTCCTTCTGGCTGCAATCAGTACACGTCAGGAACTATGAATTAGAATCCACGTGATCATCAACGCCATCTTGGTTATTTAAAACATGTTGAGGCAAGCGATGGTCAGATTTACAGGTCAGCGATAAGGGCAGAAAACAACGAACAGCGAAGATTGGATGAGTGCTGATTCTCGTTTGTTCATTGCCCACAGTGAGAATAAGTCAAATGATGGATGTCGTCCATTATCATTATTCCAATCCTTACCGTGAATGTATGCATTGCTAAAGCAAAAATTCCATAACTACAGCATACCGTGCTTCATAGCATTATAGTATTGCTCTCTTGCTTCTGGGTGGCAAGGGGTCACAGCTACGTGGCATTTCAGCACCTGTTAGGGTCGAGATGCGACTTTGCCTTTTTTCTGAGAGTAATAAATGTAGTTGTGCCTTAAATATAGTAATGAAAGGAAAGGTTTTTATGATGGCTATTTTCAGTATACCAAGAACTCAGCTTTAAATATATGTAGGCGTGGCTTTCGGTGTATGAACCAAGCTGCACACTACCGAACGCCGGCTAAGGCAGAGAATGAAGTCAAAGCTGAGACTTAACTTAAGTGCTACGCAGGTGATCAGATATGTGCCGTTCAAACTGCATTGTCAGCACCAGTATTTACCGTTCTTGAGTACTTGAGTACTGTCAAAAATGTGCTGGCCGTCGGCGCTTCGTAGACGCCGTTCAAATGGACGATCAACGAGTGCATTAAAAGTTCCGTGACGTCAGAATGGTACGTGAGAACGGTCGTTGCGGAACATCCGAGCGAACGTAAAAATATTCGTAGCCACCATGGAAAATAATGAATGTTTTTCAAGTGGCTGCTTCAGCTTTCCGCATTGAGCTGCAAGATGGCCAAGTCATTGACGACTTCACATCTCCTAAATTTAGCCTTGATTATGTGGCATTTTCGATCACCGCAGGAGTTTCTTGTCCACTGGCCCACTTCAACTGACGCTCTCTGAGGTAACGATGCGATGTCTTGGCTGGTCATCGCCTGAGTGAGTTGCCTGCCGATTCAAAACGGCTCTGAAAGCCACACACCTATCGATGCAATGACTACACAGAGCAGTCGTCAATCCGTCAGGCTGCCGTACGACGGCGATAATGCAAGTAGTCCCTGGCTTACGATGGGGTTACATTCAGACAATCACATCGTTAAGACGAAAATATAATAGGCGACGGCCTTTGTGTAGGGCATAGCCGAAGTCAATGTAATGTATGACATAGTAGCACTGTAATAATGGTGCTATAGCATAATGTACTGTATGGTTTTGTGTCAAACTTAACAATCCCTACACCCTGTAATTTGTGATGCAGTAAATATTATAGAGTACATGTACTATG